AGTTCCATATTTATAATTTTTTATTTGTTCGGCATTGTAAGCCAGAAACCTATGGCTAGCCACACCCAACTTTTAACAGTAATTGGTGTTTGGTAAGTGCCCAACATAATCGGATCGAGATTGACACAAATGACACGAGTGCCACGTAACATGATGCAAAAAGCTACCCCCAGACGAATTTTGTGACACATTAACCGTGACGTTTATTACGCTCTGTTAATTACACATGGGACGGAGAGAGGGAGAGAATACGGGTCGGAGGTAGGCACAGTGTGGGAGAGAGAACAGGGGGGGATAGAGAGAATGGGGCTTAATAGAGGAGATGAAATGGGACGGAGAGAGGGAGAGAATACGGGTCGGAGGTAGGCACAGTGTGGGAGAGAGAACATGGGAGGGACAGAGAACGGGTTATCTTGAGGTTATCTTGAGATGATTTCGGGGCTTTTAGTGTCCCCGATGCCCGGTCCTCGACCAGGCCTCCACCCCCCAGGAAGCAGCCCGTGACAGCTGACTAACACCCAGGTACCTATTTTACTGCTAGGTAACAGGGGCATAGGGTGAAAGAAACTCTGCCCATTGTTTCTCGCCGGCGCCTGGGATCGAACCCAGGACCACAGGATCATAAGTCCAGCGTGCTGTCCGCTCGGCCGACCGGCTCCCCTCGGCCGACCGGCTCCCCTCGGCTACGGGATGGAGGGATAGAGAGGGATTTTCCTATACTAAGGATTCTATTGGTGGAAGAGGTGGATTTGTCGCCAACTTTGGCTGTTGAGATTTGTCGCCAACTTTGGCTGTTGAGATTTGTCGCCAAATCTGTTTTGTATAATACAGCTTTCTGTTAACGGAGGGGAGCTTCCTGTTAACGGGAGGGGAGCTTCCTGTTAAGGGGAGGGGCGCTTCCTGTTAAGGGGAGGGGCGCTTCCTGTTAACGGAGGGGAGCTTCCTGTTAACGGAGGGGAGCTTCCTGTTAACGGGAGGAGGGCTTCCTGTTAAGGGAGGGGAGCTTCCTGTTAACGGGAGGGTAGCTTCCTGTTAACGGGAGGGGCGCTTCCTGTTAACGGGAGGGGCGCTTCCTGTTAACGGAGGGGAGCTTCCTGTTAACGGAGGGAAGCTTCCTGTTAACGGAGGGAAGCTTCCTGTTAACGGAGAGGAGCTTCCTGTTAACGGAGAGGGGTTTCCTGTTAACGGGAGGGGAGCTTCCTGTTAACGGAGGGGAGCTTCCTGTTAACGGGAGGAGGGCTTCCTGTTAAGGGAGGGGAGCTTCCTGTTAACGGAGAGGAGCTTCCTGTTAACGGGAGGGAAGCTTCCTGTTAACGGGAGGGGCGCTTCCTGTTAACGGAGGGGAGGTTCCTGTTAACGGAGGGGAGCTTCCTGTTAACGGGAGGAGGGCTTCCTGTTAAGGGAGGGGAGCTTCCTGTTAACGGGAGGGTAGCTTCCTGTTAACGGGAAGCTTCCTGTTAACGGAGGGGAGCTTCCTGTTAACGGAGGGGAGCTTCCTGTTAACGGAGGGGAGCTTCCTGTTAACGGAGGGGAGCTTCCTGTTAACGGAGGGGAGCTTCCTGTTAACGGAGGGGAGCTTCCTGTTAACGGGAAGGGCTTCCTGGGGAGGGGGCTTCCTGCGCTTCCTGTTAACGGAGGGGAGCTTCCTGTTAACGGAGGGGAGCTTCCTGTTAACGGAGGGGAGCGTCCTGTTAACGGAACACCGCTGAGGGCCAGACTTGGGTGAGGTGCCACGGGCCAGCTCCTCCTCCCGCTCCCTAAGAAGACAGTCTTAAAAGCTTCGTCTTCCAAGACTCGTCCATTAATTTTATCGGCCACTCTGGCCACACAAGTCTTCCGTAATAACACAAACAGGTTTTTGCTTTCCCTTAAATTTTGAGACGAACCATTCGTCCGTCGAAGCTCGTATATGACACTGTGAAGCCTGCACAATATCCTGGTATATGTCATTATAGAAGGTGCACAATATCCTGGTATATGTCAATATAAAAGGTGCACAATATCCTGGTATATGTCATTAAAAAAGGTGCACAATACCCTGGTATATGTCATTAAAAAAGGTGCACAATATGCTCGTGTATGTCATTATAAAAGGTGCACAATATGCTCGTATATGTCACTGTGAAGGCTGCACAATATGCTCAATATTTCTACCACTTTGTGTAAAATGAGAACAAAGATTTTCAACTTCTGTTAAAGAAATGTTAAATGGTTCTTTGATAATATTACCAAATTTTGGTTTCAGAAAATGTTTATAGATCGCCAGCCGCCCACACCAGGGACGAGTCTCTGTGGACACCAGCCGCCCACACCAGGGACGAGTCTCTGTGGACACCAGCCGCCCACACCAGGGACGAGTCTCTGTGGACACCAGCCGCCCACACCAGGGACGAGTCTCTGTGGTCCCCCAGGCTGGCCCCCACCCCGTGTACTGTGGTCCCCCAGGCTGGCCCCCACCCCGTGTACTGTGGTCCCCCAGGCTGGCCCCCACCCCGTGTACTGTGGTCCCCCAGGCTGGCTCCCAGGCTGGCCCCCAGGCTGGCCCCCACCCAGTGTACTGTGGTCCCCCAGGCTGGCCCCCACCCCGTGTACTGTGGTCCCCCAGGCTGGCTCCCAGGCTGGCCCCCACCCCGTGTACTGTGGTCCCCCAGGCTGGCCCCCACCCCGTGTACTGTGGTCCCCCAGGCTGGCCCCCACCCCGTGTACTGTGGTCCCCCAGGCTGGCTCCCAGGCTGGCCCCCCCCGTGTACTGTGGTCCCCCAGGCTGGCTCCCAGGCTGGCCACCACCCCGTGTACTGCTGTGGTCCCCCAGGCTGGCCACCACCCCGTGTACTGTGGTCCCCCAGGCTGGCTCCCAGGCTTGCCCCCACCCCGTGTACTGCTGTGGTCCCCCAGGCTGGCCACCACCCCGTGTACTGTGGTCCCCCAGGCTGGCTCCCAGGCTTGCCCCCACCCCGTGTACTGTGGTCCCCCAGGCTGGCTCCCAGGCTGGCCACCACCCCGTGTACTGCTGTGGTCCCCCAGGCTGGCCACCACCCCGTGTACTGCTGTGGTCCCCCAGGCTGGCCACCACCCCGTGTACTGCTGTGGTCCCCCAGGCTGGCCCCCACCCCGTGTACTGCTGTGGTCCCCCAGGCTGGTCACCACCCCGTGTACTGCTGTGGTCACCCAGGCTGGCCACCACCCCGTGTACTGCTGTGGTCCCCCAGGCTGGCCCCCACCCCGTGTACTGATGTGGTCCCCCAGGCTGGCCCCCACCCCGTGTACTGCAGTGGTCCCCCAGGCTGGCCCCCACCCCGTGTACTGCTGTGGTCCCCCAGGCTGGCCGCCACCCCGTGTACTGTGGTCCCCCAGGCTGGCCACCACCCCGTGTACTGCTGTGGTCCCCCAGGCTGGCCCCCACCCCGTGTACTGCTGTGGTCCCCCAGGCTGGCCACCACCCCGTGTACTGCTGTGGTCCCCCAGGCTGGCCCCCACCCCGTGTTCTGCTGTGGTCCCCCAGGCTGGCCACCACCCCGTGTACTGCTGTGGTCCCCCAGGCTGGCCACCACCCCGTGTACTGCTGTGGTCCCCCAGGCTGGCCCCCACCCCGTGTACTGCTGTGGTCCCCCAGGCTGGCCCCCACCCCGTGTACTGCTGTGGTCCCCCAGGCTGGCCACCACCCCGTGTACTGCTGTGGTCCCCCAGGCTGGCCCCCACACCGTGTACTGCTGTGGTCGCCCAGGCTGGCCCCCACCCCGTGTACTGCTGTGGTCCCCCAGGCTGGCCCCCACCCCGTGTACTGCTGTGGTCCCCCAGGCTGGCCCCCACCCCGTGAACTGCTGTGGTCCCCCAGGCTGGCCCCCACCCCGTGAACTGCTGTGGTCCCCCAGGCTGGCCCCCACCCCGTGTACTGCTGTGGTCCCCCAGGCTGGCCCCCACCCCGTGAACTGCTGTGGTCCCCCAGGCTGGCCCCCACCCCGTGTACTGCTGTGGTCCCCCAGGCTGGCCCCCACCCCGTGTACTGTGGTCCCCCAGGCTGGCCCCCAGGGGATGCACATCCCGTGCTGGGGGCGGGTCGGGCCAGGTGAAGACTCACAATGTGTCAGGTAACGAGGAAAGTGTAAGAGATCACCCGCTAAATTCCAGAGTGCAATTTGGCTGTTTAATTATCGTAAAGTTTGTGGCCCTAACAAGCTCTTCACCAATTCTTCCCCCACCACCCCCTCGCACCCCTCCCCCTGTGCCCCCACCAGTCCCCCCCGCCACCAGTCTCCACTAACAAGTGGCACCCTCTTACACACGGAGTGGTGATCTGTGGAACAGATTACCAAGTTAAGTAATGGACGAGGGGTCACTGCATGCCTTCGCTGTTAAGCTTCCTCCTATGGACCAATTGGAGCTGCCTCTAATGGGCCAATTGGAGCTCTGTTGCATGGGCTTACTGACCTGCCGTTACCAACTGCTTATTAACAGTAGTTCCTACCTCACTCTTAGTTTTAGAAGCAGCTATGGCAGGTAAAACATAACGGAAGACTTTATATTAGACGGTTTGCAAGGCGGAGTCCTGGAGCTTAAGCTCTGTCCTGCAAAGTATGTTAGGTAAGAGCAGTTACGGCGCCACTGTTGCAGGACAGTGCAATCCTTCTGCGGTACAGGGAGCCGGTCGGCCAAGCGGACAGCACGCTGGACTTGTGATCCTGTGATCCTGGGTTCGATCCTAGGCGCCGGCGAGAAACAATGGGCATAGTTTCTTTCACCCTATGCCCTTGTTACCTAGCAGTAAAATAGGTACCTGGGTGTTAGTCAGCTGTCACGGGCTGCTTCCTGGGGGGTGGAGGCCTGGTCGAGGACCGGGCCGCGGGGACACTAAAGCCCCGAAATCATCTCGAGATAACCTCAAAGTGCACTGAATCGTCTTAATTTTAACGACATTGATAATTCCCACACCAACAACTGGACGACCCGTCGAGCCTGCACTGGTGAAGAGGTCAGCCTACTGAGGTCGTACCGTCCTGCAGCCCCTCGACCACAACGACCCACCGTCCTGCAGCCCTCGACCACAACGACCCACCGTCCTGCAGCACTCGACCACAACGACCCACCGTCCTGCAGCCCTCGACCACAACGACCCACCGTCCTGCAGCCCTCGACCACCACGACCCACCGTCCTGCAGCCCTCGACCACAACGACCCACCGTCCTGCAGCCCTCGACCACAACGACCCACCGTCCTGCAGCCCTCGACCACAACGACCCACCGTCCTGCAGCACTCGACCACAACGACCCACCGTCCTGCAGCCCTCGACCACCACGACCCACCGTCCTGCAGCCCTCGACCACAACGACCCACCATCCTGCAGCCCTCGACCACAACGACCCACCGTCCTGCAGCCCTCGACCACAACGACCCACCATCCTGCAGCCCTCGACCACAACGACCCACCGTCCTGCAGCCCTCGACCACAACGACCCACCATCCTGCAGCCCTCGACCACAACGACCCACCGTCCTGCAGCCCTCGACCACAACGACCCACCGTCCTGCAGCCCTCGACCACAACGACCCACAGTCCTGCAGCCCCTCGACCACAACGACCCACCGTCCTGCATCCCTCGACCACAACGACCCACCGTCCTGCAGCCCTCGACCACAACGACCCACCGTCCTGCAGCCCTCGACCACAACGACCCACCGTCCTGCAGGCCTCGACCACAACGACCCACCGTCCTGCAGCCCTCGACCACAACGACCCACCGTCCTGCAGCCCCTCGACCACAACGACCCACCGTCCTGCAGGCCTCGACCACAACGACCCACCGTCCTGCAGCCCTCGACCACAACGACCCACCGTCCTGCAGCCCTCGACCACAACGACCCACCGTCCTGCAGCCCTCGACCACAACGACCCACCGTCCTGCAGCCCTCGACCACAACGACCCACAGTCCTGCAGCCCCTCGACCACAACGACCCACCGTCCTGCATCCCTCGACCACAACGACCCACCGTCCTGCAGCCCTCGACCACAACGACCCACCGTCCTGCATCCCCTCGACCACAACGACCCACCGTCCTATACATCTAATTCTTTCTTGTATTGAACATAAAGACACTATTCCTCTTCGTCCTCTTGCAGGTTCCGTCCGCTGCGAGAACACCTGGTGGTGTTCCGTCCGCTGCGAGAACACCTGGTGGTGTTCCGTCCGCTGCGAGAACACCTGGTGGTGTTCCGTCCGCTGCGAGAACACCTGGTGGTGTTCCGTCCGCTGCGAGAACACCTGGTGGCGTTCCGTCCGCTGCGAGAACACCTGGTGGTGTTCCGTCCGCTGCGAGAACACCTGGTGGTGTTCCGTCCGCTGCGAGAACACCTGGTGGTGTTCCGTCCGCTGCGAGAACACCTGGTCGTGTTCCGTCCGCTGCGAGAACACCTGGTCGTGTTCCGTCCGCTGCGAGAACACCTGGTCGTGTTCCGTCCGCTGCGAGAACACCTGGTGGTGTTCCGTCCGCTGCGAGAACACCTGGTGGTGTTCCGTCCGCTGCGAGAACACCTGGTCGTGTTCCGTCCGCTGCGAGAACACCTGGTCGTGTTCCGTCCGCTGCGAGAACACCTGGTCGTGTTCCGTCCGCTGCGAGAACACCTGGTCGTGTTCCGTCCGCTGCGAGAACACCTGGTCGTGTTCCGTCCGCTGCGAGAACACCTGGTCGTGTTCCGTCCGCTGCGAGAACACCTGGTCGTGTTCCGTCCGCTGCGAGAACACCTGGTCGTGTTCCGTCCGCTGCGAGAACACCTGGTGGTGTTCCGTCCGCTGCGAGAACACCTGGTGGTGTTCCGTCCGCTGCGAGAACACCTGGTGGTGTTCCGTCCGCTGCGAGAACACCTGGTGGTGTTCCGTCCGCTGCGAGAACACCTGGTGGTGTTCCGTCCGCTGCGAGAACACCTGGTGGTGTTCCGTCCGCTGCGAGAACACCTGGTGGTGTTCCGTCCGCTGCGAGAACACCTGGTGGTGTTCCGTCCGCTGCGAGAACACCTGGTGGTGTTCCGTCCGCTGCGAGAACACCTGGTGGTGTTCCGTCCGCTGCGAGAACACCTGGTGGTGTTCCGTCCGCTGCGAGAACACCTGGTCGTGTTCCGTCCGCTGCGAGAACACCTGGTCGTGTTCCGTCCGCTGCGAGAACACCTGGTCGTGTTCCGTCCGCTGCGAGAACACCTGGTGGTGTTCCGTCCGCTGCGAGAACACCTGGTGGTGTTCCGTCCGCTGCGAGAACACCTGGTGGTGTTCCGTCCGCTGCGAGAACACCTGGTGGTGTTCCGTCCGCTGCGAGAACACCTGGTCGTGTTCCGTCCGCTGCGAGAACACCTGGTCGTGTTCCGTCCGCTGCGAGAACACCTGGTCGTGTTCCGTCCGCTGCGAGAACACTTGGTGGTGTTCCGTCCGCTGCGAGAACACCTGGTCGTGTTCCGTCCGCTGTGAGAACACCTGGTCGTGTTCCGTCCGCTGCGAGAACACCTGGTCGTGTTCCGTCCGCTGCGAGAACACCTGGTCGTGTTCCGTCCGCTGCGAGAACACCTGGTCGTGTTCCGTCCGCTGCGAGAACACCTGGTGGTGTTCCACAGGTTCAGTAATCTACCGTCGCAGCTCCTCTGGGGCAAGAAGGACATGTAAATATCCAATGTGTATTAAAAGTTTCTTTTTCCAACGATTCTCTGGAAAATGTGACGATAATGTGGTGTAAGAGAGTGTGGTTATGGGGCGAGGAGTGCCGCACGCGCGTGTAGGCACCACGCCCACACCAGACGGGTACGGTGTCTTCGCACGCACCTCTTGTAACACACGCACAGACACACACGCACACACACGCACACACACACACACACACACACACATCTGTACACCTGTTGATTGACAGGCGGGACCAGCCACAACCCCCGCAAACACAACTAGGTGAGTACACACACACACACACACACACACACACACACACAGTCTAGTTCAGATAAGGGGGGGGGGGGTAAGGGGTACTGAAATAGACTTCACTATCCCATATTTGAACTTTTTTTTTATTAACACATTTAGGTACATCTGCATTTGTGCACCTGCCCTAGACAATATGAAGGGGAGTAGAGTGTGTCAAAAAGCTAGCTACGTGATGCTAAAATCTCCATCACACAGAATGGTTAGTCATACAGAGGCATGTGATCAGTAGTCTGCTCTGGCAGACTCTGGGTGCATTTTGAGGATATCATCAACACAAGATTGAATAAGATAGCAGTGACACTAAAAGTCCCCATCTCGCAGGATGGTTAGTCATACAGGGTCATATGTTTAGTAGCCTGCACTGGCAAATTTTGGGTATACTGTGAGGATATCTTAAAAAACACGAGTGAATAAAGTAATTGCAAAGCTCCAGGTACCTCATGCCAACGGGTCTGAAAGGTCTAATAACTGGGCATTCAGTGATGTAGTGCGGGAGATCATGCCATAGTTCCTGCTCACAGAGTTTGCAACTGGAGTGCTCAGGATTGGGAGATCCGTCACCTGCAGCCGCCTGCCACAGGTAACGGTAACCCAACCTGATCCTTACAACCACTGTGTCGCACAGTCTGGTCGACGTTTTGTGCTGCCCATAGATATAGGTTTAAGACATGAACAAATCATAACATTTTATACTAGTGCTTTTATACTAGGTCGTTGGGAGTCAGTAATTTATTTCCTATCAGATCTGAGTGTGCATGAACTTTTTTTTTTATTAAGTTATGAGGTACATCTGCATTAGTGCAGCTACCCTAGACTATATGAAGTGGAGTACAGTGTGTCAAAAAAGCTAACTAGGTGATGCTATAAAATCCCCATCACACAGGATGGTTAGTCATACAGAGGCATGTGATAAGCGGCCTGTACTGGCAGACTCCGGATGCATTTTGAGGATATCAACAACACAAGATTGAATAAGGTAGCAGTGGTAATACAAGTCCCCATCTCGCAGGATGGTTAGTCATACAGAGCCATGTGTTTAATAGCCTGCACTGGCAAATTTTGGGTATACTGTGAGGATATCTTCAAGAATACGAGAGTGAATAAAGTAATTGCAAAGCTCCAGGTACCTCATGCCAACTGGTCTGAAAGGTCTAATAACTGGGCATTCGGTGATGTAGTGCGGGAGATCATGCCGTAGTTCCTGCTCACAGAGTTTGCAACTGGAGTGCTCAGGATTGGGAGACCCGTCACCTGTAGCCACCTGCCACAGGTAACGGTTACCCAACCTGATCCTTGCAACCACTGTGTCGCACAGTCTAGTGGACGTTTTGTGCTGCCCATAGATGTAGGTTTCAGATCTGAACAAATCATAGCTTTTTATACTAGTACTTTCAGGTCGTTGGGAGTCAGTAAGTTCTTTCCTATCAGATCTGAATGTTTGGACCAATACAGTTTTGACAGCAGAGATGGGGATACCTAGATCTAATTCAACTTCAAACTTGTTACACGCTAATTTGGCTGCAATGTCTGTCTCATTATGATGGGTTATATTTATGTGTGAAGGTATCCATACAAAGGAGATTCGAGACCCTTTACTCTGTGCATCAATTAGGTCATTTATAATTGGGAGTATGAGGTTCTTGCTGTCGATCTTCCAAGAGAAGTTTTCGATTGCTTGAAGAGCAGACTTTGAATCGCAGAATATTATTCCTCCTCCAATATTTTTTAATGTGCTGGTTGCTAAATGTAATGCTGCTAGTTCTGCTTGTGTGGAGGTCAGCCAGTTGTTTAGCCTGACACTGACAGACTTTGTGCAAATATTATTTCTATAAAACCTACATGCCGCTGCAGTCCGTCCAGTAGAAGACTGGACTGAGCCGTCGGTGTAGACACAGTGCTCGTGAGATCTTAGACTCGATGGAGGAGGCAATTGTTTCAAGAGCGACAGCTTTGAGTAGAGCAAGATTCTCATTATCTTTCTTGGTGACAGGTGTGTATGATACTTGAATGGTGGGGTACAGATAAAGAGGAATATCAGAGACTGGTAGATTGCACTTAAAAGGAATGTTAAGTTTAATGAGATTGTAAGCATTGTTTCTCAGCCAATTATCATAAAAGGAGTGAGTTGGTATGTCGGCACCAGTCAAAAGGGTGTTAACAGCACTAAATAATTTGTCTCTGAGCAATGTAGGAGATGTAGGATCTCTCATGACTTTAAGACAGAAGGTAGTGTTAACTTGCATTATTCTCTCTAGTATGGTTGGAAACTTCAGTTCTTCCCTCATGTTGATGATTCTTGTGCATCTTGGGGCACCAAGAATTATCCTCATGGCCTCGTTCTGTATTACTTCAAGTTTGTCCAACACAGAGGAGGGGAAATTAATTAAGTGCAGAGCATTATAATCAACGAGAGATCTAACAAACATCATATAGAATAGTCTAGCATATTTAATATTGATACCAATATTCTTACCAGTAAGTGTTCTCAATGGTTTTAGTCTTTCTTTTAACCTACGGTGTAGATCATTTACAATGTCACTGTTAATACCAACTCCAAGGTATTTGTGCTGCCCACACGTTTCAATGTTCTGGTTGTTGACCTTGAAAGCTATAGGGACATGAGTTTTCTCTTTGGGATGGAGAACTCTGGATTTAGTTATAGAGATAACAAGACCACATTCAATGCTTTTAGCAGCGAATGAATCAAGTAGAGCTTGCAGTCTAGTTTGGGAATTTGCAACAATGCATATATCATCGGCATAACAAATGACGGCTTCGTCAGGTAGTGTGGGAATATCAATTGTTAATTTGTGCATCAGTACATTGAACAGTGTGGGACTTAGCACTCCGCCCTGGGGTGTACCCAACTCAAAGGGTGCACAGAGTTTACTTTTGACCCCCTTGAAAAGGACTGAGGCGGTTCTGTTACTCAGGTACCCCCTGAGCCATGTCAACAGTCTTCCCTTAACTCCAAAAGAGGCTAGCTGTTCTAGGATTATTTCTTTGTTTGCTGTATCAAAAGCAGTTTGGAGATCAATAAATGCCGCCTGAGAGTTTGGTCCCCCTCTGATAAAATACTCAGCAAAGCAAGTTTGTGTGCTTCTTCCAG